ACATAGCTAAAGGCAGTTGTAAACGGTTTCATCCCTGCCTTTCCCCTTCTCCCATTTTTCACTTTTGGAATTACAAGCTCGCTCCCCGCATGAGGCTCTATTGTCGCGTTGCTGTCCGCTCGTGAGTGTATCTTAGCCACTTACTTGGGCAGGAGATGTGCTGATTATTCTGACCAGATTCATATTCATTACCATATTTCCTTTCTCAAAAGCATTGACAATCAATGCTCTTCCGGCCACCGTAACGGATGGACAAGTGGAAACAGTAACATGGACCCGAGACCAGGATAAAGACCCGACACATTTTCAATTCATACAGACCCGAGGCAGTCAACTATACCTCCCGATCGGCCCTACTTTTTCAGTGAAGAAGGAACAAACCCAAGGCACTTTCGCAGTCACCTTCACCGGGGCTGGAAGGTACGCAGCGCTAGACACATGCAATCCAGGCGAATGACATTGAATTTATCTCATGAAGCCAAGTCATGATCTGGGCGAACAACCTTGATAAGCCGTTCCCTTCTCCGTAAGAACGTTTGACTAATGGAGGCAATGAGCGGTTAACAAATTGATTAAAGCTTCTTTTGGGGCCCGCAAATCATCATCGTAGGGAAACCCTCCGCTCCAACGCTTCCTACAACAATTGTATCGGTGACTCAAACGAGTTCAACCCCTCCACCAACTATTCCAACGGAGAGTATCAGCACGGTCCCTACATCGACACTGACGTGAGTTTATCGCTGTTGCCTGGTGGAAGGTACTTCATTTCTGGTGCTTAAGCAGGACTGGATCTCAAACCTCAGGTCAAGCTCAACCGCCCGTTGTTCCATCAACAGATCCCGTTGTCATCTCGCCGACGACGACGATTAACGATTCGACAACGAATCAAACGGGGGAACCCAACAATAGCGTGGCGCAGCATACTTCCTCAGGAGCGGTTACTACAGGGAACCGAAATACCCCTCCTTCCTCTAACACCACTAACACCAACGACGTTCCCGGAAATTCCACAGGGCAAACTTCAGCTCCATCCCATCCAGGTTCTTCACATGTCGGTGTCATTGTCGGCGTTATTTTCGGAGCCCTGGCACTTATTACTCTGATCCTGCTTGCTATACGTATTCGTCGCCGAAGCGGAAGGAAACGAGACAGGCCGGACGCACACGAGAGTTTCTTTAGGGAAAAGATGATGACGTCAGACGGACATGTTCCTACGCCCAATCGTTCAGACTTGGAACCGCTCCGATATACTAGAGACAGCATCATCTCCCAGTCAACCACCGTCTACGAAGCTGGAAACGGCACAACTAACGGCTCGAATTATCTTTCATCAAATGCGAAAACCCGACATGCACCTGGCACCACGGTTTACACCATAAACGAATCTGAATGTGCCGATTCAGATCATACATCGACAACGGAGCGGAGCGAGGATCAATACGTGTTTGTCCCACGTACGGATAGACAGATGGATATCGAACATCAGATACTTCAACTGCAGGAGCAGCTCGTTAAGGTCCTTGATCAACGCTCGCATTCAACGACTAGTTTACCGAAGTCGAGACCCGCTTCAATTGGAGAAATTAGGGATCAGATTAAGAGATTGAGGGTGTTGCAGGATGGGCAGTGGGCAAGGGGAAGAAGCGACGAGGTTCCTATGGAGATGTACAGTCACTGACAATCTGGAATGGAATGGACATTAACGGACTAAGTAAACGTCCCTGCGTAACTCATCACTACCCTTTACGCCAAGGGTTGCGAGTGGGAACTTGTCTGTTTCGTGCAACGGTTTAGGAATGGCTGCCGGGTTGAATTTGTAGTTAACCGGACAACCTATTACTTAAGGACTATGTAACGAGGTTGACGCGAGGCCGACGCGTCTTCGTCACGTTGCGGGAAAATTGTGGCTTGAAATGTTTCTCATGATCAGGTCTTCCATGTTCTCTTCCAAGTCAGTAAGTGCTCCGACCCCACGGATGGATCGGAATTCGGCTTTTTCCTGTTTCCGAAACTCGAAGAGGCCCATAAACCAAGACCACAATACCCGAGGTGGTCGCCATAGTGCCAAAAATGCCACGATTCCCATATCTGATGGAATCTTTTCATTTTGCGGCTCCTCCCCCTTGAATGTTCCCATGCGTGATGGGTCTCATTTCTGGGCCGTCCGGACCAATGAACAACCTTAATTGTTTACCTTTTTCTTCCTTCCTTCTCTTCCACCTTTCCGCTCGAAGCAGGCTTGCCTGTCCTTTTCAAGTCTCTGCAAGCAGAGGTTCGACGATTTCTGCATGATTCTGTTGTTTCAACTATCGTGAGTATTTTCCCTCCAGTTCCGTGCATGTGAACTAACGCTACGAAATACAATCACAGTGTCCTCTCCTTACTCTTCCCTCTCGCTTTATCATTTCAAGTTATTGCACCCAGTACAGTTACCATCGGGAAGGCCGCACAAGTTCAGTGGATACGACATAATGGAGATCCTTCCTCCTTCAGCTTGTTGTTGAGGAGAGACAATCAAGACCGGGGCGGGATGTTGATTATAACCATAACATCGACGAGTGATTCGCAGGGAACGGCAGACTTCACCTCTGATGAGCAAACGTGTGTCTTGGGCGACCCTGTCCCTGAAAACCGAGCTGATCATTTCGCTTTCACATTAGCAACTACCTGATTCAGATTATCTCGGATTTGCAACCGTAAATCTATTCTTACAGCAAAAAAAAAAAGACTCGAAGAACACTCATTACTCGAATTTTTTCCGCTACTCAGTTTACAAGGCAATCAACAGCCTAAACAGATTTTGGCGACCAGCAGCAAAATCAGTGCAGTTCAAGATTCCAATCCTTCCCAGACCTCCACCCAGACGTCCGTCTCTGACCCTGTCTTTCACCCGTCAATTCTTTCTGACGGTCGCTCTTCTCTTTAGAACTTCAACGACATCAACATCTTCATCTCAAACCACATCCAAAGCAACACCTCCATCAACAAACACTAGCACGGATCGTGGAGGGTATGGGCATCGCTTCAACAACTTTTTTTTGATTCTATCACTGATGTCATCATGGTTGTCTAGTAATTCCAACAACGGAGGGTAGGGTCCTGTTCTGATGGTTCTTGTCTCTAGATATGTCCCTGACCGATCTGATTTCAATAGAGCTGACAAGTCGGAATCTACCTCTTCCAGCGAGGGTGGAAACACTGCGGGGACAGTCGCCGGGTACGTCGTCGTTATGACACCGAGTCGAGGGTTACCTGAGAAATAGTAAATTTGACCTACAGCCTGTTTTTTAGTACTGTCGCGAACACTGACGCTGGTCGTAGCGTGACGGCTGGTCAGGCTCAAGGGTCAGTCTTTTTGTCACTTGGTGGGTCTGGAGCTGAAATAGAATTGAAAATGAAGGACGCAAGATACGGGGTCTGGCCTTCCAAGCTTAACAACGTGTGTCACATTCCTCATTCTCTTCAGTAAACATCCAATCACTACCTTTTTCTCATCAGAATTTCGACGCCTGCTACTGGCACCCCAACCGATTCAAACGCGCCGAGTTCTTCAGTATCAACCACTACTGGAGAGCCACCCCAGACCGGCGGACCGTCCCAGAAAACGAACGTTGGTGTCATCGTAGGAACCCTCATCGGTGGGCTTCTCTTCCTTTTCCTGATCTTCTCCCTGCTCTTCCTATACAACCGCCGCAAACGCCGCCAACAAACTCTCGAATACGCTTTCCGTCGAGATCTGATGACTCGCAACGTGGAAGGCGCAGAGCGCAGCATCTCCTTCCATTCAGTCTCCCCTTCGGAATTCAACACACCAGGTCCTACAAATCGCGCACTAAGAACGTCCCAAATGTCATCTGGAGGACTCACAACGTATCAAAAATACTGGGAAAATCAGCCTCAGGACTCGAACCAACCTCGTGAAGCCCAGCCCATGGCGAATAATACCAACAGCAGCAACAACAACAACAGGAACCAGAACGAGGAAAGTTCGAATCACGTTCACACTTCCAACCCGTCCACGAACACTTTCACTTCGTCTTCTTCTCTATCCGTTTTTTATACCGCTGTACCGAAACCTCCGCAGCCGGCTTTAGCACCCGGGTTCACGTTCCCGACACGAGCAGCGGACACGCCGACTACACCTCAAACGACGACGACGACGAGCACGTCAACGAAAACGGATAGACAGATCGCTATTCAGAACAAGATGAATCAGCTTCGGAGTCAGATGATCGCGCTTCAGTCAAGGAACGCCCGAGGTAGTGGGTTCACGGAGGACTCAAAGTCTGCAAGTGAGCAGGGCGGAAGCGAAAGAGAGGAGATTGAGAAGATCAGGGAGGAGTTGGAAAGGTTGGGGGAGATTATGAACTCTGGTTGGGCGTTGAGGAGGACTGAGAGTGGAGGAGAGGTGCCGGCTGGACTTAGGGCTTAGTTAGGTTCGTGGGGTCCTTTTTACTTGATAAAACACGAACTTCCCGTCTCTTTTGGTTTCGCTTTCTTCTTTTTTTTTTCACTTTCTCTATTCTCCTATGAACGGTATTTGTCTTTTTTTTTTCTTTTGAAAACTTGACTACCTGCTCGGAACTTTATTATCATGTATCAAATATGTTCTCTACCTCTGCTTCCCTTCCCCCCCCCCCGTTTCTGGACTGCGCCACCTTTTTCCACCGGATCCCTTCGATTGCACCGAACTAAATTGTATGATACTTTATTTTTCAACGTTTTCCAGTGATAAACAGGTACTTCTCTGTTCAACAATAGTACCTGCTGGACTTGAAGTTCACCCTTCAATCGTTTGTTTTGTGTACGCGTACCGTTGTCATTTTTTTCACGCCAGCATGTCGTAGATAGTTGTTTTTATCGTGCGGGCAAGAGAAATTGATTATGAGGCATAACCTGTCGTATTCAGGTTTCGTTGGTACCTCTTACCCTTAAAGTGGAACGTATAGAAATCATTTAATGTGCGAGGTCAGAAAAAAAAAAATGTAGCTATCTATATAGGGCCCAACTGGGAATTGAACCCAGGACCTCTCGCAAAGTTGCACCGCAATGTATTCAGTAACCCAAAGCGAGAATCATACTACTAGACCATTAGGCCGCTGACAGGCCTATCATAATAAGGTACTATATTAACCTACGCGAAAAACCCACCATTTTTCGACTTGCTGAACCCAAAACCAAACTCTCCGAACTTATCTGTCAAATCATCAATCCCGCCGTCGCCTTCCCCTTCACCGGAGACATTATTAATCACAAAGAACCTTCTAGAACGTCGCCATTGCCGTGGGCGCTTTCGTGCCTCCTTGCCTCCCTTCTCGAACTTTATCACTTCATCGATCGTTCGGACATAATTGACATCGGAACGCGAATGTTCTTTATCATCCACACCATCGTCCGTCTCTGGAAGGTCAACGCATCTGTTTTTAGGTGTCGTAGGTACTGGCGTAAGACACATCCTGGATTGACGTTCATCCACAACAGTCTCCGAGTCCGAGTCCGAATCGTCTTCCGAGGACTTCTCATCCAAGTCATCACCTGCGTCGTCGTTCAAAGAAGGAACCGCACTGTACGGGAGTTCTTCGGGTACGTCCGGGATGTTGTTGCGCGAATCAGACCAGTCGATGTAAGAGTATGATGACGTTCGGAAAAGCTTATGTCCTCTGGTGTATCTCACCGGTGTCGATGGACGAGTTTTTGGTTCATCAGAAGGGTTGTGGCCGCTGCCACCATCGTCTGGATTCGATTCTTGACGTGTCTGTTTTCCGTGCTCCTTTCGCCCCTGTTGACCTCCTTCCGACTGCTGATCCCCATCTAGGTCTTCCCATTGAAATTTGGCTTTCCTGAACGTCGTGCAGAGTTGATCTCCTAAGAGCTGCTCAAATAAAGAATGAGCGGGTTTTCCTTTTTGAAGCGCAAAGCGATGTAAGGGGTCGACCATACCGGTGAGAGACGCCACGGAACCGTGTCGTCGAAAACTTGCATAACCTGCTCTGCAAGGCGTACGCTTTCGCAGTCGGCCTTGGACTTTGGTTGGCAAGACATGATGAAGGGGGATGTTCAACCTAAGTCGCTGGGAGATCTATAATGACTTAAATACCCGATCCTATTGTTGGACTTTTCCAGAAGGCAGACCACAACGGTGCCACTCGCCAGTTATGACCATTGTGTCTGTGGAGCATGGTCTAATTTGAGCGTCGAGACGACCTCCATTGTCTATAACTCTGTTCATTGTTTTGCTATCCATCACTGCCACAAGCGTATCACTGACATAATTTTTCTTCGTAGACCGTAATACGACTGCTGGGGTCTTTCGGGCGTAGTACTTCAGCGAAAGGATAAACTTGGCAGATGAAGAAGTCCTTATTAACCATTTGTGTTCCCGTATGACTGTATCTGGGCTCCGGAGTCTTTCTAGCGACGAGAACTCGAAAGGCATTGTTGAACGGATCAAGATACGTTATATGAATGGAGTCAGACAAGAAGTCTCTTTGACAAGTTGAGTTCGTAGGCCGAAAGCGGTGAAGCGGTAGGTGGATACTTGACCCTGATTTGAAAACCAGAAGTATAGAAAGGGCCTCCCTTCTAGATATAATGTTGAATGCCAGCTCCGACAAATGTACAGAATACTTCATGGTGTACGACTGACAAAACCTACATAAGAATTGGTAAGAAAGGAGTCAGTTAGGCTACAGTCGGACTGACAAAAGCAGACAACGGTTCTAACTGTAAGTCAATTGTGAGTTTTGGATACGTACCCTCAGAATGGATGATAAACTTACTTTCTAGGAGCACCAGAGGATATGTTGGCTGAGACGGAAAAAAAATCGCGTCGCACGAGTAGATCAACACGTGGAGTGCCGTGATTCTCCAACACAGCCACTCGGGTCCTTCTCCGGCCGACACTGCAGTGTCATGCTGACTATTCGTCAGGGGTCTTCTGGCACCCAGCATGTTTTTCTCCCCTTGAACACACCCGGTAACTTTGTTCAAGATGCCATCTTTCCCAGTCAATTAGAGAAGAAAATCAATGAATACATGGAGAACTACGGAAACATGTGGGGTGGGGAAATTGATTCAGCAGGGGACATCGGCAAGGATATCTTCAAAATCCGGCCCTATCGTTCCGATCCAAGCCTCCTCCCATCCCGCTGACCTCCTTCATTCTTTCCATCTTCCCAATTGCAGGCATTTCGACTTGATCGGCCAAATCCTCACTTCTTTCCCATGAACGGGTTACTTTCATTCAAAAGGTTCGGGACACTAGCTTATTGGTAGCGAGGGCTGAAAAAAAAAACAAAAAAAGTCGTGAATCGGGATTAGTGCTATATAGCTTGCTATGGGAAGGCCATCTCGGTTTCAGCATGTTTCATTCTATCGGCAGTCACCAACCTACCCTTGAAAAAGCTCTGAATTTCAATCATTAAAACTGTAAAAAATGAACTGTCAACTTACTGTCAACCAATGACATCTCTCCCGCCAACCGATGATTATCAGTAACATAGCTCCCGTCAACGTCGACGAGCGCTGGGCGCTGAAGCCGAAAGGAACGAAATGTGAACCCTCACAACAAAAAAAGTTGATTTTGGCTCTGCACAAGGCCTACTGTGACCGTCGCTATCTATAGCCCTCAATAGATGCGCCCAGGGACAATAGTTTATCATTCCACGGCCTTTCTTCTTCTCAGCACTACATCCCCAGGACAAAACATCTGGTTCGAGCTCGTGTAGGACTTTCTCTCGTAAAGCGATCTGAACGGAATAAGTCGGTAGTCTTCACTTGAATTTAGTACGTGTGAGGAAGAAAGCCCATTGAAAGGCGGCTGGCGACGATGTAACGACCGTCAGGGCGACTGATCGAGATTAGAGCGAAAGATTTGGGACGGCACAAGTTGATGGTGGGTAATTAGACTTCTAGGCTAGCTCCATCGGTTACGAGTTATGATACACCGCACAGGTTAATCCCTGGGGGGAAAGCAAATGAGATGGGGCAGTTGAAGAAGTTATTTCCCTTACATATGGGTGATGCCCATCTGGCGCACGACAACTTTGGCGTCATCTTGTTAAACAACTGCCAAGGCAAGAATGTACCCGTCGAACAATTCAAATATTTCGTACCGTCTTCCGTTTATACCTGGCGCCGCGAATCTCCCGCCTGCAAGTTGAGTCCAAATTTGAAATACTTACCGGGTTACTTTCAATTCATCTCCTTGATCACCTTATTCCCCCCCTTCAATTCATTTCGCCCGGAGCGAAGATGCGGTTCTCGCTACGTCATTTTTTCGCTCGATTTGTGCTAGGTTGGGTCAAAGCTCTGTTATTTGCCGCCAATCCACATCTTCTCCTTACTACGTACCAATAACAATGATTGGCGTCTTATTTCAGTAAAGTGAGGTTATCTATACATTTGATGCTTAGGGATTTACTCATTCTTTACAGCCTCCAGGGATTACGTTCCGACGGGAGCATGAGAGTCTCGGAAACCCCTTGGAATAGAACTGGCGCTACAGCCTTGAATACTTAGTACTGGTGGTTGGGAGATCGGTGCTGGGGTTTCTAGGAAACCCGAATTTACCGTAACTCTTCCAGGAAGTGCTCCAGTGAGATTCTAATCAACAACTCCCTTACTATTCGGCGTTCGACCCTGTGATATGTACGGTATGATATTCCCATTCAAACTTGTGGATTCAACTGCTCATTATTGCGAAACGAGGACATATCATCAACTACATTGAATTACTAATACGAACACTAGGGGTCCAAGCCATATTTTACCGTTAATAAAGTTCGACAATACATATTCTGCACCTTCCAGGGGGGGAAAAGATTTCATCTACTCCCACCAATTAATGATCAATACTTCTCTACTTCATGACAATCTCCAAAACTAAGTTCAACCCAACCCCGACCCCCCATAAAAGTATACTCCAGACTCCGTTGTAACCGAGAACCGAGAAACGTTCATCGTCAACTCGGTGTTCGTGTTGGGAAGTCCTTCCCGCCCCAAGTGAACACAGCTTTTTCCAAAAAATCTGGCCACGCAGTCAATCATTTCGCAATCATCATTGACAACTTTGGGCGGGCGCAGGGAAAAAAATCAAAGCTGACTGACGCCGAGCATCTCGGATTTCTCATGCTCCTTGTAACAACTGTCCTAATCCCTTTGACAAGGCGTCAACATGCAAGTCGTTAAATCATGTAAAGACGTAGAGGACTGTACCTTGAACTCTACGGCATGACGTAAACACTTCCTCACTTCCAAATAAGCAATGCCTCCCCTTCCCCCCCCGCACAGCTTTTACGATCTACCTACGGATTCCAGAATCCGAATAACCACGACCCAAATAACGCTGACTCAAAGTCGCATGATGATCTTTGGGCGATGAAGGAGACGGCCACTGCGAAGCCGACGTCGATTGAGAATGAGGGGAAGAATACGGTGACTCGGGACCGTCCTCATCATGTTCGTTGTATTCCGGAAGATAAAGACTACCGGCCCCTGCGTGATTTCGGTAATGTCGGCGCATGTTCGAGTTCACGTTGAATTCACGTCCGCATCCGGGGAAAGGGCAGCGGAACGCTGGGTGAGAAAAGTCAATGACACGCGTACGAGAAGAAAAAACAAAGACATACGTGTTTCCCCCGTGTGCGTGTTGACATGAATCTTCAAGCTGCTCGGTCGACTGAATCGCTTGGAACATGTTGGACAGACGTGTTTTTTATCGGATGATTCTCGATCGTGGCCTGGAGGTGGTGGTGGAATGTGATGGTGGTGGTGATTGTGGGATGTCGAAGCGGAATCATGATGATGAGACCGTGAATGGGTGTATGATCCAGATTGACTCTGGGATTGGCTACTGGGTGCTCCAGGATATCGGTTAGAGTCGTAACTATGACTCCGGCTTATTTGTGTTCGTCGGCTTTCCTCCGAGTGGTATGCGTCGTCTTGTTCCTGAAAGCAGAGAAGAACACATGAGATGACTCATAGTTACTTCGGAGTAATCCCTCGTACGAACGAACCTTCAAGACAAAGCGAACGTTGGGAGTGTACTTCATGAAATGTTCTAGAGACCGATCGCCCTTTTAGCTTGGTACTTTCTGT